AGTATTTAGCATCTTCTGATTGGCTCTGATAGAAAATATTTATTTAGCAAACTATGAAGTTTTTATTTTGTTATATATAATATAAGGAATTGTTTCAAATATAGTGCTGTAAATGTTTTGTGTTTAACACTCTGTTTCTATGAATTTTTATCTTATAGGTGGAAATTAATTTTTATAAAGAACTAAATAATGGAACCAGACATCGTTCGAATGTATTCTTCGTCCCCTCCCCCATTAGATAATGCACCGGATGAAGAGGAGGAAGAAGAGGAGGAGGAAGAGGAATTTGGTGATTTTGGTGGCTTTTCTGATGTTGGAAGTACTAGTGTAAGCTTTGATTTTGCATCAGAGTATTCCAGTTCAAAAGAAGAACATAAGTCTTCATTTAACTCCGATTACTCAGGAAGGGTAGATAGTGTTATAACTTTTACCACAATAAGATATAGTAACAATAAGGACAGCATTGCAGAACTTCCTACTTCTATAAAAGAACTTCCTGATAGTACTAAAGAAAAATGTGAGTGTAGAAACTTGGGTACATCATTTGAAGATGTCATTCCGGTAGAAGTAAAAAGAGCTGGAAAACTGGAATCATCATATTCTGAAATTATTAGGACTGATCTAAAAGTTCCAAAGGAAGATCAGCAAATAGACAGCTGTAATGGCGAGAGACTACCATTCTCAGAAGTTCTAACAAATGGATTTTCAGAACCAGATACAGCAAACTCTCAGGGAGTAAAGGATCTGGACAGTGTTGATGACCCAAAGGGATTAAAAACAATTAGCACTCATAGTACTGAATTAAATTTGGATTCTATACCCAGCACACAAGAGAATTTTGCCACATTCTCACATAAACAAACAACCCAGGTAGAAGAAACAAAAAATGAAATATGCAAATATTTTAGTGAAAAAAAAGTATTAAATGCACAGGAAAATTATGTAAATAGAATTGGAGAGGCAGAATCTATGAAGGAAGCTATTTTGGATGAAAGCTGTGAATGTGAAGGGGAAACTTTTACTGAAGGTGAACACATCTGCATTTCAAAAACTAATTTAATAAACAATGTGAAGCCTGAAAAAGACTGCACAGAATTGGAATCTAATGACACTGTCACTTCTGTACAAACAAATGTGAATTCAATAGGCACAATTGAAAATGCTGAAGAAAAGGGGGAGGACGGCACCGGAAACAACAAAGAACATGCTTTTTCTTCGACCAGTGATGCTGCAAAAACAGCAGACCTCAGCCTAAGTAGGCTTGAAAGTCTTAGCAGTCTTCCTAGTAGCAAGAAGGTAAATGTTTCTGAAATAGTAAAAAATGGTGAAAGTGACCCTGGACATGCATCATGTAATGAGGTTAGCGAAGATGATTTTGGTGATTTTAGTATAGTCAGTAATGGATCTCTTGCTTTTGCAGATAGTGTTCAAACTTCTGCAAGCCAAGAACTTTTTCAACCCCCTTTTGAAAATCTCAATAATGAATGTAGTGAATTCACAGCTACCAGTAGTAGTCTTCATCAGCAATCAACAGAGGTAGCTCCTTGTCAACCAAATGAGATTTCAAGTGCTCTGTTGGAAGAACATCCAATGGTTAGTTCTGATTTTAGCAAGAAGATAAAACCCTCTGTAGAATTGGAAAATGGGGACGATAATGAGTTTGGAGATTTTGATTCAGGGTCAAAAAGATTTCCAGACTCTGATGAATTTTCAGACTTTAGTTCAGCTGGTTGTAACCAAGCTACAGAGTGGAATGCTTTTGAAACCGAACAAAAAGAAAGCTGCTTATGGGCTACTTTTGAAGATGAACAAATGGTAGAATCTCATCCTAGAGAAGATGTGTGGCCATCCCATACAGTTGACACAACTGACAGTGCTGAAGATTCAGTTACTCAAGCGGGAAATGAGCAGTTGCAAGAATTACAAGTTTCAGCTCAGGTAACTACCATATTTGGTTTTTGTTTTCCCTTCTCTAATTGGTAGGAATATTTTTCTTTCTGCGGTAGAAAAGTATACGCTGTTGGTTTCACTATCCCGTACTAAGTATGTATGGGATTAGATGCAAGATTGCCAGTTTTGCCTTGGTGGACATGACACTGCAGGAAATGCCTTCAGAGCCACAGCCTTTGTGCTGTATTAAATACTGTTAATCTAAATTCCACAAGTGGCTTTGCGTTAATGAAAGGGATGTATGAAATACAACAGAGGAGTAGCTCTCCAAAAGCCATAGTGTATGCATAAAATTTATTTGTCTGGATCATTGCTAATATGTCAAACAAAAGAGCCTACTAACTATATCTACAAAGCGTGTATGAATTAATATTTATTTAATGTATTTTGGAAAGCACATATTTCTTCTGTAACTGAGACCATATATAGCTTTTCTGAATTATTAAAAAATAAATGAATTATTTTAGTACTGTCTGATAGAATAGAAGGTATGTATACCTCTTGTTCTCCATTTTTTTAATGGAAGAATGTTTTATTTAATTTGAATTAATTGAATTGATGTACATTTCAGATATTAGTGAAAATATGTTTAGTATTCCTTACCAAAAAAACCAACAATATATTGTATGAAGGAAGCAAAAGTAATGCTCTGTGAACTTTTGCAATGCTACTTCAGAAAATATCCAGTATTTTAATAGAATAAATATGCTGGTAGTTTAGACCTGTGTTTCTTAAAGTGCGATCCTAAGACCCCGGGGAATTCCCCAGTACTTTCTCAGGGTTCCACAAAATCAAAATTATTTATGAGCCTAAGTTGAAAAATAATATTAAAGTGCCATCAAACAAATTGCGAAAAGCTATAGTGGCAGCAAATGCATCCCTTTTAATTTTTAATATAGAAATAGCCACATATATAACCCGTACAAACAAAAACTCTTTTTGGGTCCTCCATGTGTATAGTACTAAAACTCTCCTATTTGTCTATGTGTAACTTTTAACTGGGCAAAACAATTTTGGTCAGTAAAATTGGGCAAAACAATTTTCGAACCAAAGTACCTCAAATGGGCTAACTTACAGAATGCTTAAAAATCCAGAACTCATGACTATCATGGAATTGAAATTTAGCAAATTTTATAAAATGTTTAATGACATCATTATTGTAAAACATGACATAATACAAAATGTCATAAAAGATTTCCTGTGGTCAACTCCTGATGTTATACAATTCAACAATGATTACTTTCAAAGCAGATACATCTTTGAATATTTCCCTGAATTTTAAAAAACTTTTCCAGTACATTAAAAGCTCTGCCATTGTTGAAGGCATTGAGGAATCTGCTAAGGAAATGTTTCTTAAACGATGACCTAACAGGTCATGCATTGTCTAGCAATTTTTAAAAGTGTGAAGTTGTCCTGAGAGAAATCTTTTTAAGAAACACTGGTTTAGATTATAGAATTGGGTCATTAAAAATAAAAATTCAGCAGAGCATAGATAAAAACTTGAATACAGTGAACAACTCTTCATTTTTTAACTTTGTTTAATACATAGTAATCTTAAGGGAAATATAAACATTGTAAACATCTATATTCAATATTTCTGCCCAAAATGATGTTTTTACAGGCCAAATGTATTCTGTTAGGAGAAATATTGTTAATACAATTAATGGTTGTTCAGATTTGTGGAAAGCTATTTTTATAGTTGTTTCATTTTTTTTTTGCGAAAGCACATTTCCGCATATTAAAATGATTGAGCCAAATATTTTAATTTTTTGCTGTTTTGTGATAACAAGCTTGGCAGCTAGGGAATAGAATCAAGTTCTTATGTTGCCCTGATTTATATATGCTAGAGGAAATACAGAACCTAAGCCAACCACAAGGTTCATTTACAAAAATGGGATGAGTGATTTTCAGTGTCATCTAAAATAGTGATGCATGGCAAAAGACTTTCAACAAAACCTATTATAATTAATGTAACAATTCATTGGTGGGATTTCCTTGGTTTTAAATAAAAAAAATTATTAGATATTATTAGATAATTTTTTTCAAGTATTTGTTGAATTACTTGAGTTGTAATTGAATATTAATTCAATAATATAGTGTTGAATTAATGAGATCCTAGATACTTTATTAATAAATGATTATACTTGACTCATCTGAAATCAAGTTAATACTTCTGAAATTCCTTTTAAAAAGGTTACTTTTGAAAGAAGGCAGTGGCAAACATTATCCATAGTGTAATCAAGGAAACTGCATGTCTTTATTTTATTTATTTATTTATTTAAGAACATTTATATGGCCATTCAACTCTCAGTGACTACAAGCAGCTTACAAAGGTAAAACTCTCCTATAAAAACAATAAAAAGCAATAACTGCCCATTTTCCTGGCGACAGCAATCAGTCAAATAAGCCATTTGATGGGCGCTATTCCACTCTGGTTCCCCCAGCTTGTTGGTAAAACCAGGTCTTCAATACCCTGTGAAAGAGTCTCAAAATGGGGGACAATCTTACGGTATTTAAGGCCACCGAGAGGTCAAGTGCAACTAGGATGGATGTACTACCATCTCACTCATGCCAGAGATCATCAAAAAATGTAGCCAATTCCATTTCTGTCCCTTATCCAGTCCTCAATCCTGACTGGAAAAGATCTAGAAAATCCATGTCATCCAGGAACATCTGGAGCTGCCGCTCAACCACCTTCCCTAGAAAAGAAAAATTGCAGACAGGAGAAAATTATCCAGTTGGGTGGAGTATAGTTTTGGCTTCTTGAGAAGAAGTTGCACCACAGCCTCCTTGAAGTGCTAGTTACCCCTCCTCCCACAGGGAAGCATTAATCACTGCCAGAATCCACCTGCATGTCATCTCCCCGGAAGCTTTCACAAGCCAGGCGGGGCATGCATCTAAAACACCGGTGCTTGTGCTCCTACTCCCTAGGATCCTATCCACTTCCTCAGGAGCAATGGGGTCAAACCTTTCCCAGATAACTAGACAAGAACTGCCCCAGGTGCCTCCACCAGACCAGCAACCATTCTGGCATTTTATTGGGAACAAATCTGAGTGGTTTTGTCCTCCAGAAAATCAGCACCGCCCTTCAGGTGAATCTCTGTATCCTCCTTCCCTAGGAGGAGGTGACTCATGTTAAAGAGGGTCGCTGGCCAATTATCTAGACTCAGTTAGTGCAGAGAAGTAGTTATGGCTTATTCCCAAATCATCACGAGGTAGGCTTTAATAGCAGCTCTTACGCATGTTCAATTGAGTTTGTCCCTTGTCTTTTTCCAGGAGCACTCTAGACGTCTCTGCCCATTTCATCCCTCTCAATTCCTCCATATATCATGAGAAACAAAGAGGTTCAGGAGTTAGAGGAGGTCGCATGGGCGCAATTCTATCCAGAACCTCAATCACCTTCCTCTTCCAAATGATGACTTAAGAGTTTGGCAGGACTATGCAGCATATCTGCAGTTATAACCCCCAGTTCCTTCTGAAACCCATCTAGGTCCATTAGTCGCTAAAAGGTCCTGCCTCTCCGCAGGAGGTGTACAGTTCTGATCACCACCAGATTCTGCTCTGACCATGACAAGGGGACCAAAGATAGATCCACTAATACCAGGTCACTGCTCCATCAAGAACACCGAATCAGCTGTGATTTATCCATGTAAACACTAAGCATTTGCCTCGATGGCGTATTTTTATTTAATAGTTTATCTTTTCACATTAAAAATGACAATTCTGTGATAATTTTTGAGGAGCTCTAAGGACCATGCCCAAAGCTTTTAGCAGGAATAGAGCAAATCATACTTTTAAAAGTTCCTTTTAACTTTAAATGGTCATAATTATACGGTCTACTTTTCAAGCCATGATGAAAGAGTAAATTGATATGAATATAATTATTAATCAAAATAATAATGTGGGCAGCTCTGAGCCCTTTTTTGGTCAAGGGCCCTGAAACCCTTGGAAGCAGTCATCTAGCTTCGTTCGAAATTGTTACCAAGTTGTAATTTCAAATAGGAAGAATAGGAAAATTATTAATTTCTTGGCAAATAATCATATTAGCTACATGTTAAATTAAAATACTAAATTCTAACATTTTTTTTCGTTTTGTTGAATATGCCTGTTCTGGATTACGGTACTTGGCCCCTGCCTTGACACTTAAAGTCCCTTCACCTCCAAGCTGTGTACCTCAGCCACATAGCATTGTTACATTGTGTATTATTCCACAGATTTTACTCAGAAAATGAATGTGGCCAAGAAATAGTTGGCAGAGCAGAAGAAGAAGGAGGAGGATAAGAATTAATGTTGATTCAAACATACTTTTTAAAGAAATCTGCCTCCAGCACTGGCCAGCCAAATGCTTTTAAGATGTTTAAAAGCCTCTAAAAGCCTAAGCAGACAGTACAGAATAGCACAGCAGGTATAATTTTGCCATCATTGCCCCAATTTTTCATAAAATGTAATATAATATCCAGGCCTTGGCTATGTGTTGCATACTTAAAATACATGCTGTACTGATTTATTTTAATTTTTTTAATTAATTAATCATAACCTTTTTCAGAAAATTATCTGAATATTGCACTGTTTCCGAGAGGTTTGTAACTGAAATTTTATTGTAGGCTTTTGTTGGAGATTTTTAGCAGTGACGGTAGAAGGCACTTTGAAGTCTTTTCATGAATCACAGGGAAACAGAACATATGATCCCAAGATATTTGTCATCCCTTTAAGATAGGTCAGGCCATGAAATAAACTCAACAAGGACTATTGAAGCTGTATTATATAAATGCATTGTATGACAACAAAAGCTTGAAAGACTTGCAAAGATCTCCCCTCATCCCTCCCGTACCAAATAGAATCAAGGCAGAGAAATTTTGATTTTTCCCCTCATTCCTACCGTTCAGGATTAAATAGGTGTTTCCCTACCCATTGCCAAAGCCATTTCCTTATTCTTTCATACAATACTCATCTGTGCCTTACAGTTCACATAAGAGGTTTTATCCATGAACAGATATCCAAAAAATATTGAGAAGATATAAGAAGGTAATCACTGATCAGCAAAAACCATCATTAACTACACTCATGTAAGTTGCAATGCAAAGGCTGCAGGCCCTTGGATTAGGATTGATCAAGTTGAACATTTAACTGCAGCTATTCACAAATAAATAGACGTTTCACTTGCCTGGAAAATTCTGACTACAGGTAGTCCTTTCTTAACAATAGAATTGAGCCTCTGTTGCTAAGTGATGCGGTCATAAAGCATAAATTTCACATGACTGTCAATTTAGGACAGCAGTTGCGACAGTTCCATTTGCCATTATTTGGTGAATCCCATGTAGTTGCAGTTGCAGTGTCCCACAGTCACGTGATCATCATTTGTGATGACCTGTCAACTTCTTCACTGGTTTTATTTGTCAAAAGCCAGCAGTTAAGTACGCAAATGGTGATCCCATGGCCAGTGGATGCTGTGGCCATCATAATTGTGAGCTGGTTGCCAAGTTCCAAACTTGTACTACCGAATGCTGTGACAGCCACAGTTATAAGGAACAGCCATAAGTACCCTTGTTCAATGTAGTTGTAACTTCAAAGAGTCATTGAATGAGGACTACCTATACAGTCAAATATGTTTGTGAATAACAGAAAACTAGATAAATTCCTGTTCACGTGGCTTATAGGAAGTGTTTCTGCTTGATGTTCCATGCCTTCTCAGTGAATCCTAGGAACTGTATATAGACAATTATATCTGAAAGTCATCGTGTCATTTTTCCCCCGTAATTAATATACTTGCATGATTTTCAGAGTCAATTTGGTTTTCTTTGTCCTAATACAGGTTGTGCTTCTAAATCGTCTTGAACGAATATTCAAGGCCTGTTTCCCTCCTGTACTTGTTTCTGAAATGAGAGAGGAAATTCCTCCTTTAAATCTCATGTTAGAAGTGGGCAGAAAACCAGAGAGAACAGTGGAGAACCTATCAGAAAGGTAAGAATATTTAGTGGCATCAAAACATGGAGAAGAAGACATTTACATTTTTGAGAATATTTTCTGAGACAAACTGTTCTGCTGGGCCGAAATAGATAATTTGGATGTGGGGCATTGCTTATCCTTACAAAAAAGTATTTATTATATCTAGTCTCTTCTAAGTGGACACCAATCTATTTGCTGTGAAGCTCATTTTCTCATTATATGGTAAAAGAATAATTGTTCTGTAAATATCAGTGTTATTTCCCTAGAGGTTAAATGCTTGGGTGGGATTTTAATTAGTACTTTTTTTAACATGCCAGTCATTTAAACATGCAGAAGAAAGCAATTAAATCTGCTGAGTGCCAGTGTTTTTCTTTTTTTGCTGTTTCTCTTGACTTATAACATGCTCTGTAGGGAACTACTTGATGTGTGGGCAGAGCTTCAGGATATCCATGATGCTTATGGACTGAGATACCAGTGGGGTGGCTCCCATAGCAACAAAAAGCTTCTCTGCTCTTTGGGAATCGACACAAGAAACATTGTGAGTTTTCAGTTAAGGTAGAAATTCTCCCATTCTTCTGGAATGCAGAATAGTATATAGTTTTAACTCTGAAAGTAATTTTACATGATATTGTATATTTTATAAGTAAGCCTTGTTTGAAAAATGGTTCTTGATCTAATTGAATAACTTTGCAAATAACTTGGACTAATTAGATGGACATATCTTTTGTTTTAGCTCTTCACAGGTAACAAGAAGCAGCCCGTCATAGTGCCCATGTATGCAGCAGGGTTGGTAAGTTCCACAGCTCAGTGCGGTTGCATCTGCATAATAGTAAAATCTAATGCCCTTCCGGGTCAAATGCACTGGACCCCAAGTCATGTATCGTTTTTTTACGTTTTAGGTCAACTATAGTAGCGTTTAGTTTAATTTATTAGCACACTTTATCATATCATGCCTTGTGATATTATTGTAATGAGTGAATGGTATCATTTAATGTAAGATTTTTCCAATTCCCTGCACATTTCCTCCTGTGTGGTGGAGCAGTTCTGAGATTAAGGAATTACTCAAAGCTAATATTCTGTGATAATTACTTAACTCACAATAGAGCTTTTTGGGCACATCAGATTTAGACAACAAATCCTGTTGTGCTTTTGTATCAGATATTTTGTGCATAAGGTATGAAGAAATGTTCTTGAATTCCATTTGCTCTGGGACACAAGCTTTAATCCACTTTGTAGATCATTTGGTTGCAAACATCTGATAGTTAATAATAGAAAATATATTAGATAGGTCTTTCCTTAGATTTTTTCCATGAACAAGCCATTTTGATTGTTTAGGCTCATTCAGCCAGTCCTCCTTTGCATATTCCAAATTATTTCATTTTCCCCAAGTTCAGAAAAAAATCATATTGAGATATTGCTTGAATTAGACAAATTCTGAATGCTACAAATTATATTTTGCCTCCAGATCAAAGTTGGAAATCTCAATCTGTTTTGGGAATTAATTACAAATCATCACATAACTTGCCTGATTCATATGTGATGAAAAACTATTTAGTAATAACCAGGAAATGATAGGGCAAATCCCAAAGGTATAAGGATATGACAAATCATACTTTTTGTAAGCTAAAGCTACTATTCCATCTTAAGCCAAATCATTTTAAACAGGAGCACTAGTTCTTCTAATGATACTGATTATAGATACTGATAATAAGAATTGTAGAGCAGCTGTACCACATCACATACTACAAACAATCCAGTTTTTGGGCTGAGACACTGGAGTTCTGCAGAGCTAAGGGATGATGGACCATTTAGCTCTTGTGCACTTCTCCAGTAACAGCAATGGTTTAAATTAACACATGAATAAAGCTGTATGGACTAGAGAGGAGTAGAGGGTAGATGCTGTTTCTGCACTAATTGGTCAACTGGGAAACACTCTGAGGCCCCTCTGATATTGAGGGCAAATGCAGGTGAGCCACAAATGAGAGTGGGTATGCAGAGTAAAAATGGTGGGGATGTGAAAATGCCCACTATCCATCATTCTGCAGCACACATACATTATAATGTAATACTGTAATGTAAATATAAATACAACATGCTAATTGAATATATTTATGCAATGGGGTGCAATGAGTTCTTTGGGAAATAGGATTAAACAAAAAAACACCTTTATTTTCATACTATGCAATCGTATTTTAAAAAGAAGTAAAAAAATGTTTCTATGATTTTGAATGCAACAATAAAAATAAATATAACAATGCTAGTCTTTTTTTTCTTTTCAACCAGGAGTAAAGATTTCTTTATGCTCAGTAGTAGATACACTAAACAGACATCATTGTTTAAAAAATATGCTTGGTGTTTCTTTATTCAGTGTTTCTAAAATGGTATGTTATGTGTTCATAACAAAACACAATAAGATTTAGTTGGCCATATGCTGATCTTGTTTCCTTGTATTTATAGGTTTTTTGTTTGTTTGTGTGTGTATATGCTTTTTAAAACCTTTTTTAAACTTACTTATTTTATATTTTTTACCTTTTAAAATTACAATTTATGTCCTACCCTTCTTATTTTTGCCTGTGACCGTAATAAAGATTTGACTGATTGATTGTGTTCATTTGTAGGGTATGTTAGAGCCTACGAAGGAACCCATGAAACCAATTTCTGCTGCAGAGAAAATAGCTTCAATAGGACAGACTTCTGCTATATCACCAGAAATTAATATATGTACATCTGATCAGTTGCAGGTAAAAAAAAGGGAAGAATAAGGGTGGTTACTGTTCGATCAAAACATTCTTAATGACAATATCCAAAATTCTGTCACTCTGCCCGGGAAATATTAATCTTCATATGCTCAGAAAAAGCTTATGAATTTGTCAGAGCTAGATTCGTTAGCACTCATCTGTGATGGAACAACTTAACATCTGTGATTGGGAATAAAGTATTTCTTGATTGTCTCTACGGTTGAACGTCTACCGATCTATTACTAAAGTTTGGGGAACCCTTCAAACTGGGTGGATGCAAAGGACCAATGAGTGAGATAAAAGGAAAGGCCCATTGGTCAAAGAAATCTCTAACATAATTTGGGTGTTGCATATCTCATAATTTCAGTTTCTAATGTTATCTAAGCTCATGTGCCACCTCCCCAACTCTTTCCTATGTGGATTTTCTCCCCATGTGAGTGAGTGAAGCCTGTTTCCAAAGTCTTTCTTTGCCAGAGAAAAGAAGCTTTTCTGCATTAGGCTGCAGGAGTCTATTCTGTCTTAACAGTTGTCTACTTTCTAACAATAAATAAATAGGCTCGAACAGTTATACTTCTAACAGATAACAGTGATTTAACAAGTAATTTTGTGCTTAGTCATATTGCTATTTTCTGTGCTAAAATTGCTACAATTTTCTTAGAAAAAACACGCAAGGCTTTAATTATGCTTTTCTATTAACATTTTATTTAAACTTATATATCCACTTTTGATTTTGAAAAATAGTAACCTTATCGGTGAGAGGAGCAGCACATAAATTTAATACATAAATAAAAGAAATCCTACTGTTGATGGAAGTGATAGAATGGCTATCTTTACTTAATTTTAAAATAGTGTTTTGATAAAGATTGTATATATTATATATGATTGCAAGTAGTTCTTAACTTATATCCATGGTTGGCACTGGAATTTTGGTCACCAAGCTATGTGGTCGTTAAGCATCATCATGTGACTAGACCTGATTTTATAACCATTTTTACCGTGGTCATTAAGCAAAGCAGATCTGGCTTTGCCCATTGATTTTGCTTGTTGGAAGGTCACAAATGGCGATCGTGTGACTGCAGGATACCGCAACCATTGTTAAGCGTGAGCAGGCTGCCAAGCACCCAGATCAGGATCCTATGGCTGCAGGGAAGGTGCGATAGTCATAATTTCAAGGGCGGGTCATAGGTCCCTTTCTTCAGTGCTGTCATATCTTTGAGCCATCATTAAATAAATGGTTATAAGTTGAAGACTACTTGTATTTTGATTTGGGTGTAATACAGGGAAAAGCAACTAATATTGAAATCTTTTTGAGGATATGAACAAAATGTAATGTAGAAGTAGTAGATATTTATTTTGTATCTTTTGTTTTTAAAACAAAACATATATTCAAATAGAAATATATTTAAAATAATAAAGTGATTAGATGGGTTTCTTTGTAAAGTACACGGAAGTTTTGAATCACACAGGTCAGGCTTGGCCAGAAGATAGCTTGATGAGGTACTGCTATCACATTTCCTTTCAACTGAAAATTAGAATTTAATTTTTAATTTAATTTTTTTTAATTTAATTTAAAATTAGGAGTAGCACTTTTTGGCATTTCTGACATTTCACTTCGGGTAAAATCAACAACACCTTGAACTACTTGATTCAAACCCTGCTGTAAATAACATTTTTGTGATAGCTGATGATAATTCTGTGACAGTGCTGGACATCTTCAGATATGGGGATTGTCCTAATCATCACCAGTTCTTAGATGTATGTAAATATAGCCAAAGCAGTGCTATGACATTGTGCTTCTCTCCCGAGTAGGTTAGAAGTGTTGCAGTATCATTCTGGGGTATGACCAGAAAGGAATTTTGGTTTCTTGCAAAGTAGAACCTTGAAGGGTTGAGCATTTAGTGTTTTGTAATCTTGGCTGCTCATTGACTGAATAAATATAATTGGTTGATTCTAACAGACAATTTGAATGAATTAAAATTAAGTATTCTGTCATAATTTAAGTTATATGAAATATTAAGTAAAATCCTAAATTGCTTTCTTGTGCACTGTACTTACATTGTGCAGTTTTGCAAGCTTTAATTTTAGTTAAAGAAGATTTAGTGAAATTGTTGACACGCTTTGATCTTGCTTTGCATTTATGTCTTTTTGCAAATCAGAGATGAAGTTCAGAATGAATATGCTAAACAGAAGTATCAGATGGATAGGGCAACACCTGTACAAAGAGATAAACTTTAAAATAGTAATGAAGAATAAAGGAGTTTGCATTTGCTTGTTTCCAGTTAGGTATCATGAAGCTCTAAAACAAGAGTCTGCAAACTTGGCAACATTAAGACTTGTGGCTGACTGAGGAATTCTGGGAATTGAAGTCTACAAGTCTTAAAGTTGCCAAGTTGGACACCTCTGCTCTAAAGGACAGGACAATCGTTTTATTCTTTTGCCTGTCAGAGTAAACTTAGAATCTAGAGATTCTTTATGACATTTAGTTTAGGATTAGGGTTAGGTCAGGATTTCTGTTCAGAACACTTGTGTTTATTTTAGAAAATGTTAATTTTTGTTAACTCCTCTTTTTTTTCAGCATTGTCCTGTAAAAGTTGTTATGATTTTAAGGAATTTTTTAGAGTAGCATGGCTCAATGAGAGTGAGGTGTAAGTAGAAAAAGTCCTTTGTCTTTTCTTTAGTAGGAAGTAGAATCCTTGATTCTTTTACAAATGAAAGTAGTCCTTTTGTTTTTGAATGGTAACATCTGAAACTTTTTTTAAAATGCAGTATGCATTACTAATTATTGGTGTGCAATTTGTTCCTTTGTCTTATGCTTCAAAATTAGAAATTTAGACAGTAATAGTTTTCATATATATTTTTTGTTGTTTCCTTCATTCTAATTTATTGTCATACTTAATACCTTAGCTTAAGTGTACTAACCATTTTGAAACATAAGTCTGCTGATGGTAAGATTTTGCTTTTTTAGTACACCTCAGTGGTTTTTTATTATTAAATAATTATAACTTTACTATAATTATTTAGAGGGTTGTAGTGATCCATTTTTGTTCATTTATTAAATATACTTCATGAAATATATTGTGATGTCCCTTTGCATTTTCAAAACTGAAAAATTAGAAAATTGTATTTTGCTGTTACTGTTCTGCTTCTCTTGTATTAATCATTTATACCTTTTTATCTGCCTGTTGTGCCAGAGCAATATCCCTATCTGGAGTAATATCATATTGTAATTTTGAAATACATATGTCCATCAGACATATCCAAGCCCAGCCGCCTCCCCCCTCCCCGGGACTAGGAAATAATCATACCTTTTCATAGGTTACATGAAATGCATTTTAAGGATTTCATTTTGAACATTTTAGCATTGTGCCTTGAGTCTGTCTTTTGTCTTTTCAATGGTAGCCTTTTTGTTTGCATGCACAAGAGCACATAAGACATTTTATTATACTATGACCTAACTATAAAATCTGATTTCTGACTTTTCAACTCTAGGAATCTCTACCACCTGTCCAGTTTGACTGGAGTAGCAGTGGCCTTACTAACCCTTTAGATGGTACGTCTCTCCGTAGAGCCTCTAGCACCAGAGCTAGAGTTAAGAAAGCTACAAAGTTCAGACAAACGTCTCTCTGCTGATAGCTTAAATGTATATTTTCTTAGCTTTGGAAATTCAGGCTTTCTTTCTGTTTAACTATGCCCAATTTAAAGCAGTCTGTAGTGTTTAAGAGCAAGGTAAGACATATTTCTGCTCAATTTGTGTTACATACACATCATTGTGTAATATTGTATTAACAGAACCTAAGTTTGGAGTAATTAGATTATTTATATTTAGTTTATAGCTTTCATCTCAACAGACTGTTACCTATTTAGGCTTCTTTATAGTTTTAAATAGCAAACTCAAATGTGTAGTAATTGCTTCCAAGGTTTTTTTTTTATCAAAATCTGTTTGTAAAACATTCACTTTTTAAAAGCTCCTTTTCAACCATGTACAAATATTGTATATGACTAAATGCTAGCCCACTTTAAGTTTTGTTCATTGTAAAATTTACTAGAGTAAAATCTTTTTGTTAATGGCTGCAAACTGTATTGTCATGATTTTCTCTAGTTAAGTGCCAAAAATAAGAACAAAGCTTCAAAATGTAAAAATATGTACACTGAATACATCTGATAAATTAAATAAGATTTAGTAAACATGGCATCTATTTTGTTACAGTTCAGTCGTACATCATAATTACCAGCCATGTCGGTGAACTGAAAACATTGCTAAACAGTGTTTGAGGATGTTACGGTTTTGTGATTCATATGAAGGTGCTGAAGGAAAGCCTGGATCTACTCTCTTGCTGTTGTCTGGTGTCTTATTTCTTCAGTCAATTCATCATATGCTTTCCTTTAAAAAATTCTTTAAAATGTATTTCTGATTTTTCTGTTTCAGTATTAAAGGGGAACAATATAACTTGACACAAAAAGGAGTTGGTTGTAATGAAAACTACTACTATTCGATATTCCTATATATTGCTTTGCTATATTATTTATTAAATTAATAAATCATTCTATGCCTGCCAAGCACCTGGAGCAATATATAATGAGCTATTATCATATGGAAGAAAGTAACAATGCACAATAAAAGAGAACATACAGTCCTTACTGTATTTTTATAGACAACACATTATTCATTCACCATGCACAGTACAATTTAAGATTGTAAAGTTATGCACATTTACTACAACTTGTACTAGGACAGCAGCATCTTTTTTTCATGTAGCTTTGAGTAGCTTTGAATTTGCAAAATTGTTTCCCTTTAATTGTGGACATATCCTTTTTCTCTCTGGTTCTGTCTGTTCTGAAAATGTGGGCTAGCTTTTAAGTTACTAGTATTGGAATTCCTGCTGCATTTGTACATGACAATGTACATTGATTTGTTAACAGCTATAGAAACTGCAAACTAATCTTGTAAGCACTATTCTATTTTTTTATAAAACAATGTAATAAGTACTAATTATAACTGGCATGTTCAAGTGTGTGTCTTACCCCTTTTTACACATAAATCCTTGGCTTACCCTTGGCTTACCTTCTATATGGCTGCCTACCAACATGGTCACTGAATTTCAAGCTAGTGGAGGTTCCACTCTTCTGAACCTTGATTTCTTTGGGCCCGTGGAGGACAGTAGTTCTAGCACCACCACCACCATCCCAGGTCAGCCAAACACTAAACACTGCAAATTTAATCTCTTTAGTACTAAAAGCATGAGCTGCATTGTGTGACTTTCCTACAAACAAGAATATATGAGTTTTATTCTTGGATGCCTATCTTTGACACATAGTTTCTTCCTCCATAACATGTTCCAGTCAGTAATTAATTCTTCCTTTTTTCTATTGAACTGCGAGTTTGATAATTAGTTTGGTTAATATATCTCAAATGTGTAGTTTTAATTGATGTGTTTTATCCAGAGATATCCAACTTTAAAAAGTGTTTGGAACAAAATTATGAGTATCGCTAAGAATATTTTCAAATCGTAACCTTTCTGCTTGAAATTATGCTCATTGATCTCAATATCAAACTCTAGAGAATGCAGCAATAGACAGCTGCAACTAATAAATAAGAACTGGCATCTTGCTGCTTGTAGAAAAATTGAAAAGTTGATATTAGGCAAAAGCATGTGTTGTAATTCTGCACAGCAGTTTAATACTTTTGAAATGTTGCAAAGCTGAATATGAGAATATTCTGTCAGCTTAGGATGAAATATGAGAAGGTAGGGCATGCTAACAGAGTACATTTTGCTTCTGTTTAATTCTCTTGGTAGGTAAAGGTTTCGGTTTACTTGAAAGATTAATCTGTAGCGAAATTAATTTTTAAAAAGAAGTGGTCATTCGTCAAGCTTGTTCTGTTAAATGTTGCAGATACAGCCTTGCTCTAAAGACTCTTGTACTCTTTGAATTGTCCATATGGATCTTAAACAACTGACTGCTTGAGGCAAGTTCTCCTCTCTGGATGTAGCAGTCATTTTAAGATGTAGCAGAGACCTCTCTTACTTAGTATTATTCCTTAATGAAAGTCCAAGCTATGATGAGACTGAAAGATCAGTATATAGTGTGTCTCTTATACCCCTTTTCTAATACTCTGCTGGGAGTTCAGATATCTTTCCGTGGCAAAGCATGCCTCTGTGTACACATGAGAAGGGTAGAGAAGTACAAGTCCCTCTTAAGCTTTGGTGATCAAATATCTGGGAAGAGTTATCTTTGTAACTATAGAAGCTTTTGGTGGTATATTGTGTATTTTTAACTCTTGAGTACTTAATATTAGACTTGATAAATCATATTTGTTAGAAGTTGGTGGTTTAATTTTGTATGAAGAATAGATATTATTTGATACATTAATTTTTATCCATCAGTTTTAATTTTCATAGTTATTGGCCTCTTGTAAAATTTGTTATTGGCCTCTTGTAAAATCAGATTTGATTTCTGACATTAATTTAAAATAATTATTGTAAAAATACATAGTTACCTACTTTGGAATTTTCATTAAAATTTTGTCCTCAAATTAATAGAAAACACGTAGGCAGTAGTGACATCTATCTTGTTTCTTGGAAAGTCATTTGCTTCTAGCCTGCAATTCTGAGTGTTGAAAGTGGATGTAACAGTGTATGTCTGTTCCTAAGCTTAAAGCTTGTTTTTTACTTAGATCCTGAATTCCCTCAATCTCATTAAGGTTTTTCAATATGACCATTTTTATATTAAAGTAGTACGGATATTTCCAGGCACCACAGATTAGTTATACTTACATAGTCATATTTCATATTCATATTATTTTAAAGGCCTTGGTTTAAAAGTAGTGAAATCAAATTTAGAACAACTTTAGCAGTTATTTCTTAATCACATGTGAAGATAAGCAATTTTAGCTACTGAATATTGTTGGCTAATGGCTTGAAAATGTTAATTGTAATGTATCAAATGATTTAATTGTGACTTTTAAGATTTGAAATACTGGCAGGTTTGCACGTTGCCATACCTTAATGGGATTTCTGAAACTCCATTAACTGTATTTTTTCAATTGTATGTTTCTGTTTATTTAAGAATTCTGTAAACATCTGAAAATTTTAAAATACTCAGTACCCTGAATTTAAAGTTCATATGTTATCTTCATATTTTCAGTTGAGTAATAAGTCTGCAGTGGATATAGGGTGACAAGGGCCTTATCATTGGTTTAACTAAAAGTGTTTTTGATGGTTATAGGAATTGACAAATCATTATACTATCAGTATATTTTCCTCTTTTTGGGTTGCCAGTTTCTACTCCTAGATAATGGCAATTAAAAAAATACTGAAATTGGAATTTTCCAAAAACAACTACTTCCAAAAATTGGTCACTTTAATTATTTTATGGCTCCTATTGGTTTGCAAGATCTATTCCTTTCTTAATTGCATTCTCATAAAAGAGGAGAAACTGAAATATTTTTTTTTAAAAAAACTAAACTTTTTTTCATTACTGAACATGGAGAAAAAAATGGCATGAGTACTCTAAATACTACTTATGTGGTGATAATGGAATGAAAATAGATGTTATATGATAATGTAGAATTGAAACCATTCTGTTTCATGATTTCATTAGAAAAATACTATTTAATTTAGGATAGACTTCTGTCTGACTTTTATGTCATTTTATCTGCTGCTCTTGACTCTCACTTAATAGAACGCAATGGAAATTAACAAAATGTCTTTTATTTGCTTATTAGGAATGTTGATAGTTCAGATGTTTATAGACAATGGAAATAAAAAATTACTTAACTGAGATTATATGCACACATATTTCTGCTATTTGCTACTAATTATATGTTTATGCTATAAGGTGTAGATCCAGAGTTGTACGAGTTGACAACTTCCAAGCTAGAAACTTCCAAAACCACCAGTAAAGTGACTGATGCATTTGCAAAGCTAATGTCTACAGTAGAGAAAGCAAGTACATCAGCAAGGTAAATTGCATTGACTAATGACATTTAATGATTCTTGAGTGCTGATATATTTTGTAAATGTGATGGGTTGCCCGTCTCAAAGCTGGGTGATGAACAAGGATTAAAGATATAGTTACCACCAATAACCAATGATGTCTAAAGTGAAAACAATACATCCCAATCATGAAAAGCCACATCAAATGTAATTATATTCTGAGTACCCAGGAAAAAGGAGAAATTCTCAGCAAATTTTAAAAAACCAAATCAACTACCATAGCCTTAAAATTATTAAAAATTTTTGAAGTCTTAACAAGATAGCATAAGGGAGTGCACAGGATGCAGTAGACACTGAAAGTTCAGCAATCCAGGCCAAGCAAATCAGCAGAGTGTTTTTTTCATATACGGTAACACTATCAGATTTGAGGTGCAAAAAATCTACATGTTCTGAATCTCGCGTTACTCTTTTTATTTTGGCCAACTAGTAATTAAATGGATGTTTATAGCCCTATTCAGTGTGCTTGACAATCAACAGGATATTAGTGCATGTATTTTAACATTAAAATACTCAACACTCAATCAACCATCCAGAGCAACGTGGAAAATTTTCTGAAGCAACATTATGTTGTTAGATTGATAGGTTTGGGAAGGATGATATATCTATTATGCATGCTCTTATATCCTATAGATTGTGGAACTTTCAGTTTGCCTTTGAAGATACAGTCTCATTTCTAAAGATAACCTAAATATGAATACCATTTACCCACACAAGTATATTCACACTCAATACGCCAACTAAACCAATATGGTAACAATACTCTTCAAAGCAGTGGTCCTCAACCTTTGCAGCTTGGTGGCTTGGCTTAGGAGGGGAGAGGGAAATGGGCTGCGTGAAGGGCAGGCTGGCATTCATGCATGCAGGCACGCAGCTCAACTTGTGCAAGTGGCGGGCTGGCGCACACGCGCATGTGTGCCCACCAGCCCACTGTTCATACAAGTTGAGTTGCATGCATGCTCTGGCCAGCCACTCACATGGCCCAATTCCAAATAGGCCATGGCCCGGGAGTGGGCTGGGGCCCAGGGGTTGGGGACCTTGCTTTAAAGTAAGTCCAACACTTATACTGAATTAGAACACAATAATGCACGGTTATGCGGTGGTTCTCCTCCTTCCTCACCGATCGTACGCAGTCTGTATTGGCAGGGGGACAGAGGTCGACCCCAAGGCCCCTAACTTGTGGGGTGCCACAAGGGTCGGTCCTCTCTCCACTCCTGTTCAATATTTATGTGAAGCCGCTGGGGGAGATCATTCGTGGCTTTGGGGTGGATTTCCATCAGTACGC